GCCACAACACCTGGCTATTATTTTTCGGTTGCAGCCATCATTGTTGAATGATCCAGGCCTGGGCTGGATTCGAACCTGCCACCTTAGGTGTATGTGGTTGGCGCCCTAGCCACTTGAGCCACAGGCGCTGATCCAAAACCCTGGAACTTTAAATGCTGACTGTCAGCAATTTTTTTTTTTGAGACGGTCATTACTATGTCACCCTCGGTAGAGGGCCATGGCCTCACAGCTCACAGTAACCTCAAACTCTTGGGTTTAAGCGATTCTCTTGCCTCAGCCTCCCGAGTAGCTGGGACTACAAGCACCCGCCACAACACCTGGCTATTTTTTGGTGGTAGTTGGTCGTTGTTAGGCAGGCCTGGGCTAGATTTGAACCCACCAGCTCTGATGTATGTGGCTGGCGCCCTAGCCACTGAACTATAGGCACTGAGCCTGTCAGCATTCTTAAGTTCAGAGAAGTTTTAACATTTGAAGTGAACAACAGTTGCATTTTTTGGTGTTGTTGGTGGGTTTGAACCCGCCACCCCCAGTGCACGGGGCTAGCGCTCTAAACATTGTGCTACAGGTGCCCAGCCTACAGTTGCATTATGTATATATTAAAGAGGTGGTAGCATTGTGTAACTGGTCTTGTATATTTTGTTTTCACAGGTGGAATATCACTTCCTCTCACCCTATGTATCTTCACAAGATTATCCCTTCCGGCATATCTTCTGGGGCTCTGGCCCTCACACTCTGTCTGCGTTAATAGAGAATTTGAAGCTGCGTCGGGAAAACAGTGCTGCCTTTAATGAAACACTGTTAAGAAACCAGTTGGCTCTAGCTACTTGGACTATTCAGGGAGCTGCAAATGCCCTCTCTGGTGATATTTGGAACATTGATAATGAGTTTTAAAATGTGATACTCAGAGCAGGGCAGTTTGATTTTCTAGATTGGTGCTGGTTGTGTTAAATTTCCAGTGGGGCTTCAAAATCTAATATTAAAATTCTACTCAATCATCTTGGTACTACTAGATGTCTGTAGGCAGCAGCTCTTAACATGGGGTAGGTACCTTCAACTTAAAATGAATAACCACTTTTAAAAAAAAGTTCATGATAGGGTATTTTATCTAGTATTTTAAGTGCTTTGTAATGACAGCTGCCTCTTTCCTGTTATAGTTTTGATTACGTCAGAAGCAGTTATGAATTACTGCTCTATAAATCCTAAGTACATGAGCTGGTATCTTTTGTGGAAAAGGTGGTATTTGCTAAAGGTTAAAAGCAGTAGCTTAATGTGATCCTCCATCTTCATTGGATGCTAGATAGGAGATACCGGGTTGCAAGACCTTATGCTCCAAATGTGATAAATTCCTTTCCACAAGGATTTAGCTGGTTTCTGCATTCCTGAATGAAACAGTTAACTTTCAGAAAAGATGAAACAGGTCCTTCTGCTGGGTAAAATGAGGTTCAACTGTTTATTTCAGGAGTAAGGCCTTAATGTGTCAATCTCGATGTTATTTATGAGAAGAAGAGACCAGAAGCCAAAGACTTAGTATATCTTTTCCTCTGTTCACTGCCCCATAAACTTTTGTTTAGTTTTTTGTTATTGTTTTTTCCAAAGTATTCTGGAAGAGAACCAGTTTCAGGTGTTTAATTTCAGACTCAGTTTGTCAAATACTTCAAAGAGCATATTGCCAAATCTTGGGCAAAGTAGGAAAGCTTTCTAGCAGTTTGACGCTGAGATATTTATTTATTTATCAGTGACAGAGTTCACTATAAATGGTGTTTTTTTAATAGAATATAATTATCGGAAGCAGTGCCTTCCATAATTATGACAGTTATACTGTCGTTTTTTTTTGAATAAAAGCAGCATCTGCTAATAAAACCCAACAGATACTGGAAGTTTTGCATTTATGGTTACACTTGAGGGTTTTAGGAAACAGCCACAAGCCAAATTGTAAAGCTAAGTCTTGGAGAAGAACTAAATTTAATTCAGGTTTCTAATCAAGTTAGACTTATTGCTGACCAGATAATGGTAGTTCCCAAATCCATTGAATTATGACCAAGTTATAATCGCTTGGTCACGTAAGGCTGTGATAGTACTAATACAAAATTTTATAGTTTAGTTTATCTAAGGTGCAACTTGAATTCCAGTTTTGCAAAATTTCCAGTACCTTTGTCACAAACCTAACACATTATCGGGAGCAGTGTCTTCCATAATGTATAAAGAACAAGGTAGTTTTTGCCTACCACAGTGTCTATATCGGAGACAGTGATCTCCATATGTTACACTAAGGGTGTACGTGATTATCGGGAACAGTGTTTCCCATAATTTTCTTCATGCAATGACATCTTCAAAGCTTGAAGATCGTTAGTATCTAACAGGTATTCCCAACTTACTATAATTCTCTTTTAGTTTTAGATGCAGGAACATTCATGGTCATTAAACATTTGAGTAAATTAAACCACTGTATAATCAAATTACTTCCTTCAGGTTTTTTAAAAGTAAATGTGGGTGTTACCATTGTGGTTTCTCTAGGTCGTCTGTTTAATGGAACAGTAGCATACATTTTGCTGTTGACAGATGAATTTAATTTTATCCCCTTGTTTCCATGTTATTTCCTGTATACCTAGTTCAGGCATGTTTTAATCCAGAATTGACCTTTTTTGGCTTAAAGCAAGGGGAACTCTTGTTTGGGGGAAGGGTTAGTAAGGGATCTTGGGCAGTGAAGCTTGCAAAAAATCTTTGATCATGTCTGCTGATCTTAATATGGAGTGGTTACAAGTTAGATGCAAATATGAACAAATTTGAAGACATGTGAATAAAGACTTTGTTTTCTAGTCAGCCTTCGCTATAAACCTGATAATTAGCTGATTGACATAGGCAGTTCAAAACCGCCACCTAAGTCCATAGGGTGTCTTAGGTTCTTAAACGCAGTATCACTTACCTAAGTTACAGTAGACTGTCCTGGACTTTTGCAGCCTCACTTAATTGTTTCAGTACCTAGTCTCTTTAATCTTCACAGTGTTCTATCTTCCACTGATACTTAGTATAGCTAGATGAAAAGTCTCATCTGGGGATTTCTGGCTTGGGTATCATGTGTACATACTTTTATGGAAGCTCGATGACTTAAGGCATAATATGAATAAAGGGCACACATCTTAACAGCAGTTATCTCTTCCCAAACTCCTTTTCTGTGGTTAGGGTTGAGCTCTATTTCCAATCAAACAAGCCAGTGAGTGGTAAGAGGCTTAATATTATTACTGAGTAAACTGTGTGTCTGACTAGTGGCAACTTGCTAGTCTTCATTTTTTCTGGTTATGAATATCACATGCATTTTGAAGGTAAAGGATAAGATGAGCGAGTTCTGCCACAATTTTCTATCCTAGAACTTGCATGACCTCTACTGTGTTTGCTCTTTGAATGCTGAAATTTTAGACTTGGTCTACCTACTGCTCAGCTGTATCTTTGTAAAGAGTGAGTCTTTATAGTTTTAAGTAAGCCTGTATGTGCAACAATGTGGAGATTTCTTACCTTGATTTAATAAACTGCTTGAACACTGAGTTGTCATTTTTTAATAAACTTTTCAAAGAGCAGTTTTAGGTCCACAGCAAAAATAAGCAGAAAGTAGAGTGAATTCACATGTCCTCTGTCTCTGCCACTTTGCACTTTGTACTTCCCCCACTATCAACATGCCACGCTAGAGGGGCACGTTTCTTTACAACTGAACGCACATTTTAACAGGTTAATCACCTAAAGTACGGAGTTTATGTGAAGGTTTTCTTCTCAAACTCTTTGGGTTCTAGCAATTCTCTTGCCTCAGTCTCCCAAGTAGCTGGGACTACGGGCGCCTGCCACAATGCCCAGCTATTTTTTTTTTTTTTTTTTTTTTTTTGAGACAGGGCCTCAAGCTATCGCCCTGGGTAGAATGCAGTGGCATCACAGCTCACAGCAACCTCCAACTCCTGG